TCTCCAAGATTTCAAGTGTTAAGGCCGTGCTGGCTGCCTCGTTTGCGCGTGTCATGTCAGGGACGGCAACGTTTGGTGGGGTTACAGCTATGGATAGATAGCCATTGTTGTGGTGTAGGAGTAGAGGTAGAAGCGGCAATGCCAGGCCATCCTTCACCTCCCTCTCCCAGATGCGGTTCTGTGAGGCCGTGCTGGCTGCCTCGTTTGCGGGTTATGCAGAGGAGGATTCAAGCACTGCCCTCCCTCTGCTAGTTGTGTTATTCCCTTGACCAAACGTCCTGAACTCAACGGAGCACAGACTACTAAAGATTCTTGTTAGAAGAAGCTCCAGCTGCAACAAAGCCGTCTGCGCAGCTGCCCACAACGCTGCAGCAAAGAATTAACGTTGTAGGGAGAACAGGAAGGGAAATTTGAGATAGAAAAGGTCAAAAAAACAATGAATTTTGACCTTTCTGCAACTTTGGAAAGTTGGTGGTTGGTGAGTTGATATGTCAAGCATTGGTTGTCTCTGTGACCTAATTGTGGTCGTATTTCTCATCTGGAAACCAAAAGGACCACTCAGAATTCTCACCAGAACCTCTCTGGACTGAGCACTTGTCACTGAACTTGACAGTACACCGCTTCCAATTGAACGTACGACCCTCCTGTGCATACTTAAGACGTAAAGCAGCAACAGATGCTATGATCTTAGGTTGATGCTTGGCTCTGAAGTTCCGGATACCATATTCCTTCAATGCTGCCCGCAAGGTATCTCTTTAAACCCTAGGTTGGTTAGACTCATCTAGCCACAACCCAAGCTCCTGTAGCATCTCCCGGTATTCAATTTTTGGAAATTGGCGTGCTAGGCGGTAAGCATACCACTTCTCTTGGCTGGATAGCTTAGGTGGTTGGCCAGAGCGAGGCCTGGATAGGTTGTTGCCAGTGGTTTTGTATCGGTGGATGATTTTCTGGATTGCGCGACGCAAACAGCCAAATTCATTGGCCAATTCCTTAGTGGTACAGCCAGCCTCAGCCTTAGAGATAATACTATCTCTTTGCTGGACTGATATTTCACCACCTGCAACACGATTTACTGAAATCCGGGCACCAAAAGAGGTCATGGTGGTTGTGCAGTAGTAGGTAGAAGTTGTAGTGTTGTGTGAGGGTCCGTCCGACTGGAGGGTACGACCAAAGCTGGAAGGCTAGATGTATGGTACGTAGTCGGGGGATGCAAGGTTGGTTCTCTGGAATGAACGGGATCAGGATCGAAGGGGTGATACACAGACAGCAGATGGGGCTCTCTGTCAAGCGTATCGAAGATAGAACAGTAGTATTGCTTTCACTTGATGAGTTGAACACGTCGAGCCATAAGGGCTCTCCATGCTGTCTATATACTGTTCCTGTGGCCAGTGCGTCTCGTCGTCTCGTTGTCTCGCCGCATGGTGTCTTGACGTCTTGGTGTCAATAGGTCAATCTAGAATGCTACACTGGGGCTGCTGCACCGAGACTGCTGCTACTGCTGCACCGAGACTGCTAGATGCTGCTGCACCGAGACTGCTAGCTGCTGCTGCACCGAGACTGCTAGATGCTGCACCGAGACTGCTAAATGCTGCACCGAGACTGCTAGCTGCTGCTGCACCGAGATGGGTGCGCCAAGACAATTGGAACAGCTTGAAGCGGGAGCAGCACAGCTGTTTATCCGTTTTGCGGGGTAATAGCCGTACGGTAGTCACGTGTCACGCTTGGCCCGCCCCTCGCTGCCATATTTGCGGAATGGGTTGATGCCTGTGATTCCGTAGCCTCAACCAGCTGTATGTAAGTTTTCTGGACCGTAACATGTTGGTGGACGCGTTTGGGATTTGGTGGGGTAGGACCGTGCGGTACGAACAGACTAAGTCCTTAGTACTGTAGCAAGCATGGCAAGCTGATTGTACATGAGATGGATGCTAGTAAAACCAACATATGGCACTCTTGAAATGCCGCAATGCTTGCGACGCTTCGAGCTGAGTGTACGCAAGCATGCTGCAAGGCTTGTAACCACCGCGAGCCCAGTGCAGTTGTCTAAGGAGATATGTAACATGTATGTCGGTGATTACAAGTACATTTTTGCGACATAGTTTCGATACATGATTGCTGTGTGATTTTCCACTCCAGCACCAATAATACCTACATCCAAAGTAACCATAAAGATCTCAGACTGCAGTTGAAGGCATGTGTCAGAGAGGTGGATGACGTTGGCCGGTCTCGCCACTTCAGCCCCGCACTGCGCAGAGTTTTCACAACCAGCAGCTGTGAATTTAATGAGGTCCTTTGCTTCATGTACATGCAGACGCGGAATAAGAAACAATTATGCTTTATTTAATTAAAAGTTGACAGTTAATCCATCAAATTACGGCTCGGTGGTGTAGTTGGTTATCACGTCAGTCTAACATTCTCATCGATGTTGACCACTGAAGGTCCGGAGTTCAAGCCTCCGCTGAGTCATTTCTTTTTGCAACGGAGTCTCTTTTTTCGCATTTGTAGGGACGAGGACGTGGTTGTGGTGGGGCTGCAGGCGAGGACCGCGACTTCGCCTATTCTTGCGTTACACCTAGTAATCGAACATGTCTAGAACTTAAACTGCAGTCATTTTTGGATGCTTAGAGATATTTGAACTTCGATATTTATAATTATTTTAGTGTTTACACGAATGCGCAGCCACTATAATCTTTGGTGGAAGGACTGGTGAATCGCGACACACCACGCAAATATCAAACAACAACCGTTGAACAATTGCTTCTGCGGACTGGGTTTTGCTTCCCAACAGCAGCATCTTCAATTGTAGCAACAGTAGAATTCGCTGCCTTCTAGACCGACGGCTTCCGCGACGCGGCTATACATCTCCAGCCTCGTCCTGTTGCCAGAGCGCGACCCGATAGACCGCTTTATGTGCACGTCGTTGCAGCCCCATTCCCATTCGCGTTGGCGCTACCATTTGCATTCCCAACACCTGCGTTGCCAGCATTGCCTTGCGCAACCGCTGTGCTAGCCTGGTTAGTCGCATCGCACTGATCTACATGTCATCGTCAATTTCAACTCCTCACTGCCTCTCACTCAATAGACGTACCTTTCTGAGTCGAGCATTGACCTACGCTCAAGGTCTTGTCGCCGCCATTTGCCTTGTTCGCACATGCGTTGAACTGCTGATCGCAGCTCCTCGCCAATGCAGCGCCGATGTTGACAAAGGTGTCACCCTTGACCTGGAACGGGCGGTCGGCGATGCCGGAGTCGACGACAGGGGTTGCTGCGATGCCACCGAGGGCGGCGGAGAAGGTTTGAAGGTTGCCTCCAGCCTGGCGGCGGGCGTAGGGCGAGAGGGTGGGCGCGCTGAAAGCGGCGGCGAAGAGGGAAGCAATGATGATAGTGGTCTTCATGTTGATGTTTGAGTTATGTAGATTGAAAGAGATGGGTATCGTGTGAAATGAACGCTTGAGTGTAAAGACAGTATGGACTGAATGAGTGACCGGACTCGAAAGAATGTAAGATGCCGAAGCAAAGGAACGAAGGACTGAAGACTTGGGATGCTGGAGATGCTGATGATGAGGATGAAGATGGAGCAGGCGCCTTGATACTTATACATGAGCATCATCTTCATTTAGAGCGTAGGTGGACTGTAGCGAATCATTCAACCCAGCGCATGCGACGCGACAGATAAGCCCAGCTGAAACTCCTGACAGCTCTTAGAACCGCTGTTGGGGTTCTGCGGCCCCTCTCATATTCCTCAAAAACCCAGTACAGTGGCTGACAATTCCGTACCTGAATGGCGAAGCTGTGGAAGAAACATGCGCTGGCCGAATAGCATCGTCGCTGGAGAGAAACATTCATCCTTTTCACAACCAAAGTCTGGTTTTCAGAACGTGCGCACTAAATTTTGAAGATGCATGACGTTTCGTGTCTAGTCGTGAGCGATCTTTGGGCGCGTCGCGTTATCAGTAGTCGTCAACGTGCTAGCTGTGCAGACGAAAGCCGATTAAATATGTCGAACTATAAAATTCTTTCAAACTGCTTGTAATAATTAACTAGATAATGTCTAATGCGCATGCTTTTGCGCGACTGTGTAGTACTTGGAGAGCTCTCCGAGGGTTCACAGAGCCCTTCCTTCGGCTAGATCCCTGCAGCGATCAAGCACACTCTGAAGCATATCGTGAAAGAGCTCTGATTCATCGCGAAGCTTTCGATCTTCCACCAATGTGCTTGGCTAAGGCCGCGCCAGGAGGCTTTTCAACCCAAAATAATTCGTCGCGCAGGCTAATCAAACGCATGATAGAAGGTCCCAGGGAACGCCGAACAATTGTCTGCGCAAGAGGGAGGGAGGCGTGGAAGGATGTCCCGGAATATTTTTTCCCAGCGGTGAACGGGATCGATTGATGTAGTTCTGCAATATAGACTGCGTTCGCTGAAGGGGCAGGAACGCACGCTGCCCTCTCTGTCACGCTTGCTCTCTAGGATCTACCGATCCCTGGAGAGCACAGAGAGCAGGAGCGCACGCTGCTCTCTCTGCCATTGCGGATCTCACAGAGCAGAGAGATCGGACGGAGCAAAGCATCCAGCGTTCCATATAAATAGACCACCGATGAGCTCTTACAGCTCATCGTGTTCAACTCATCAAGTAATAGCAATACTACTGTTCTACCTCACCTCCTTGATACTCTTTACAGAGAGCCCCTTCTACTGTCTTTGTCACGGTTTGGAGTCTCTCTTGCCTCACGAGCAGTGGCGCCTCACCTCTCATGAGACGACGCTGCCTTTACAGCACTAGCGCTGTTTACAGCCCACTACTACATATACTGTCCATAGCTTCACACGATAGAACCTCAGTTCAATCCGTCATTTCTTCCCACATGCGCACTGTCCTCGATCCGTCATAGTCTTCGTGTGACCCCTCCGATCCTGATCCCACTCATCCCAGAGAACCAACCTTGCATTCCCCCGACTACGTACCATACATTGAGCCTACCACCTCCGGTTGTACCCTCCAGTCGGACGGACTCTCACAGCAACTTCACCTGGTGAATATCAAGGTACAACTCCAGATTCAGATCTCCTCCTAGAGGACTCGACCTGAGGGGGTGTGTGACGGTTTTGAGGGTGTTCATTCAAAGACTGGTAGCAAGGTCGCGCACAATCACAGATATAAAAGAGCATCTGCGATCATCGATAGAAAATCAATGCAGTTCCTCACAAGCGTCCACAACCCGTCATACAAGGCCACACACGATCATGAACTATGCGTACAGATGTTCAGTCAAGCTGTGCGCAGCTGGGCGTCGGCCACTCCGGTACACTCCCTTTGATTTTGGACAGCTATATTCTAACAAATTTGCTGTCATCACGGGCTGATGGTTGCAGTGACTACTAATACGACGGGTTTACTTGTCGGGTTGCAACAAACCGCGTCGCTCATACCAGTGATATCTTGCTTCCTACCTAGTACATACGATGGGAATTCAGTGATCAGTACCTTGCACGAGAGGCTTGAGAAGATGGACCTAGGTTACTCTACTAATCATGTAGTGGTGATAGTAATCATTCCGTGCGGCTGACGAGACCAGAGGCGCATGCAACCCCCCAAAATACGAGACACACTAAGAGATAGAACAGAAAACCCAAGTGTGCGTCTACAACAGTGAAGACCGCGAACGACGGAGTGATCCGCCACGCCTCAGCTAAACTCATACCAACACTCAACATCACATCACGACGCGTTCGCGGCTAAGCCCCCGACTTCTCCCTCAACCCCTCCTCGTTGTAGCCTCGGAGGTCGTTGCTTCTCCTCACAACCTCCTCCTTTGCCAGCAGCTCCGGATTCCCTGTCTCAAGCCTCTCCCTCATCTTCCCACTCATCTCATCCAAGCTCGGAACAGCCCACTTGGCACTCTCCCACGGCTTCACACCCATCAAGTACATGGTATCAATTTCTTCGAGCGTGCGTCCCTTGCCTTCGATGACGAAGAAGTATACAATCAGGCCGCCGAGGATGTTGGTGCCGGCGAAGACGTAGCCGTAGCGGAAGTCGATGGAGGCTGTGATGAAAGGTGTGAAGAAGGCGAGGAGGAAGTTCCAGAGCCAGTTACTGCAAGAAGTCAGTGGATGTCTCAGCGGGTTTCTGCTCATTCAAGGCTACTGACGATGCTGTAGAGAGAGCCATTGCTTTTGCCCGGTAGCGGCTAGGGTAGAGTTCGCCGCAAATGGTCCAGCTGGGTCATGTGTTAGCCGTCTGCATGTTTGTTTTTTTAAAACTGCGAGGACTCACATCATTGGGCCCCAGGTTGTCGCGAAGCCGAAGATGAAGAAACAGGCGAAGCATATCATAGCTGTGGCTGCGCTCTCGGTGTTCTCGGGATTGTTGCGATCGAGCGCGAAGTGGCCGACGGAGGCGAAGATCAGGAAGCAGATGAACATCCAGATTGAGCCGGCGATGAGCGACTTGCGACGACCGTAGTGCTCGACGATGTAGAGGCCGTAGAAGGTTACGCCGAAGTTGATGCCGTTCTATCTCGGTCAGCAAAACCATCACCACAATATACTGGACGAAGAAGCCTTACCAGGATCATTTGCGTAACAAAAGAGTTCTTGATGCCGGTCCCAGCGAACACGACCGTTCCATAGTAGAAGCTTTTTCGTGTTAGCATAAGGCGTCAAAATGCAAGGGGATACGCACAAGTAGTTTGCACCAGTCAACTGCTGAAACATCTGCAACCCCATCCCAATCGCAAGCCGATACGCCATCTTGGGCGCCATCCACATGCCCAACCACTCCTGGATCGGACCATTGCTCACTTTACTTTCCGCCTCGAACTTCACCCGCATCTCCTCGAGCTCGAGCTGGATGCTAGAGTGGCTCGCAGGCACACCGTAAACCCTACTCATAGTCTCAGTAGCCCTGTCAATCCTGCCATTGCGGTAGTTGAAGCGCGGGGTCTCGGAGAACCCCAAGATGCCTACAGCGAGGATGACGGCGGGGACGAAGGAGAGGCCCAGTGTGATCTGCCAGGACGCGGCTTTACCGGCTTGGTGGCGCTCGGCTGCGTAGTTGAAGACTGCGGCGAGGAAAATGCCAAAGGTGATCATGAGTTGATAGGTTGAGATTAGGGCGCCGCGGATGTGTCTGGGCGCTGTTTCTGCCTACTTTATATCAGCACCACACTATATCATTTGACTGAGGGGTTGCGATCGTACCTGGTACATGGGCACGAGCAGACTCAGTGCGCCTACACCAAAACCAGCGACGAACCGCCCCATCATGACCTGGTACCACTTATCTGTGGCAGCAATCTGGACTATAATGCCGACGGAAAAGATACCACACCAAAAGATGATGCTCTTCTTCCGCCCTATCCAGTCCGCAATGGGCGCGGCGATGAGCGCACCGAACAGCGTGCCGATGGACAGCAAACCGACTATCAACCCGGAGCGGACATTGGAGAAGTATGCCGTGCCATCTT